AAGCGTCGCAACTCTTGTCATCTCGCTTGCGCAACGAATGTGCCATCCTTCGGCTTTCGGATAATTGAAGGTATAGAATGCATTTCCATGACTACCATCGCACGAAACGATCCGACGAAGTGCGTGCGGCTCGGCGCGTCGAATTAATAACGCATCGTATACTCATACACGTCAGGCCACCGTGAGCTCTTCAGGGAAGTTCGGTGAGTCGACGAGAGGAACACGTTAAAACCAACTGTTTACACGGGCCGGTACGAGGGAACGAAAACGTGACACGGAGGGATACGCGCCGAATGAAGGATCAACCAATCGCGTAGCCACGGTGAATGGAGTCTGTCGAAGCACCAGGGATGGACCCCTTTCGGTGAACGAGAAAGGGCGCGTCTCTCTCGCGCCGCGCTGGTGAACGCGAGCGAGAGAGAAAGACGAACAAATGAGTACGATGAGTTACGGCGCGGCGTAAATCTCGAGCTAATGGTTGCCTAAACGCGAAACCTGCCGGACCTCTCTCTCTCTTCCCTTTTCTTTCCCCTTTCTTGCGGCGCGACCGAGAAATTTAATAATCCAACTAATGGGGCTTGCGCGCGGTGGCTTATTATAGTTATACGACGAGGATCGACCCCGTGACGAGAGCCGAAGGGGTCATCGATGGGATTTTATCTAACTCGTTTCGATACTCGTTGAGTACTGGCGATCATATCGACGCGGAATTTACTTTCCATCCTTACGTCGAGGTGGAGATCATATTTTATGACTCCGCGTATTTTTACGAATATTTCAAATTTATCGAAATTAATCGTTAATTAAAACACCGTGCAAAACAATTTTCTCTTTACCAAGTTTATATCTTCCAATATTTTGTAAGATATATATATATATATATATATATATATATATATTTTTTTTTTTTTTTTTTTTATTTACATTTTTAGAAGAAATTATATTTTACAAAATACTCCAAACAACAGTATAATTGATCATTATGTCAAGTGACGTTGATTACGTTGCAATGAAGATGATGTGTTTAATAACCCATTTGTGGATATTAATTTACATCGCATGTTAAAAAAATCGAAATCGTTCGCTTCTACGTTCAGGTATAGCGAAAAAAAAAAATACAGAGCGGCATTTTTTCGCCGAGAATTGCATCAAGATGATTTCCTGGAGAAGAAAACGCCTCCGCAGGTCGGAGACGCGAACGCTCTCTGGGTCTGGGAGAATTTTTAAACGATCCTCGTCGCGGACGTCTGCGAACGAGGGATCTTAGTAGACGGGGAGGGCCCTGTGGGTCCACAGGGCAGTAAATCAGGCCGGCGAACGTTTACGGGGTTTTTGGGGAATGTTGAACAAACAATTGACGGCTAATAAAGCGACGTGCACACCGCAGGACGCCACGTGGGAAGGGATCGGATTAAGTCGCGCGAGACACCATAGATCCGTATCGTTTTCTACGGATCCGTATATATATATATATATATATATATATATATATATATATATATATATATATTCGTTCACGCGTATCAATAAGAATCGCTTTTTACGCCCTTCTAGCCACGCTTAAACGCTCCACGGATCGTGCAAACCCTCTGCGCGAAATTTAATATCCTGGCGGACATAAAGTATCAACGATCGAAATCCTCTCGTACGCCATTTAATCGGTAACACGCTGCGACGTCGCAAATTACGTTCTTTACGTTCGGCAGAGATGTCTCGCACAATCGACGCTAATATCCGAAATTGCGAGTTTCGAAATCATTTCGACGACGGCGACACAATAACGAGGCTTTGATATTAAAAATATATACATAATATTATACAGAATGACACAATGACACAAACGTCTATTATTATATTTTTTGAATGCGAAATTTGCTTTTAATAAAACTCGCATTTACTTATTTCGCAATTTAGGTCATTTTTATTTTTTAATAAAATTAAATTAGTTACAAATTTTACCACAATTAATTTTATTTCAAATCATTTTTTATTTCTATTTAACATTATCTTTGCACAAAAATTTGAGTTTTTATATATTCTTAATGAGATGGAATTAATCTTTCGATTTTGTCTTATATTTTGGTATCCCTTTATATCTACGTACATTTTATATGAAAGAATTCTAGCAAATTTTTATTAATTGAAGATTAAAATGAAAAAGATTTATAATTGTAATGTTGTAATGTTACGTTAATCTGTAAAATACAAACATATACAGATTATATGTAGGTATACATACATATAAAATAATGTTAGTAATAATTGACATCTCAAGAAAATTATGGAATTCAAATCAAAACTTGTCCCTGATTTTCTTTAAATTGATATTTAATAGAAAAATTATTTATTATAATCTGTGAGAAAGGAATTTTTATTACATATGTAAACTTTTATGTAATTTGATAAATAAATATTTAATTCTTTGCTGATAATTTAAATAATTAAAAATTTTGAATATACTGAAAATATTTTATGCATACTTATTATTAAACACATTTTAATTATTATAAACTAAAATATTTGATGTATTTTATTTTAATTTACATTTATATAATATATGTATATCTCACGATTCTGCTGTTGCCTGATGCTTTCCTAATATTTTAAAAATACTTGCTTCTCCTCTCTTGTTAAACCTTTATTGCTTCCTCGTTGATGTTTGTGACATAACTCTCGCTCGCGAAAATATGATAAATTGGACGCTAATCAACAAAATACGACAATCGCGTGGCATTTTGCACGGCACTCCCGACTTTAATCACACGCGATGCGCATTTTATTACATTATATACAAGGTGAGAACAAGAGAATTTACGTACCGTGGCGATGTTTATCTATCGCTAACAAATTCCTCCGAATTAAAGATAATTATACAATTCGTCAATCATGAAGATATTATAATTAATCGCATATAGATTTGTAATTGTAATTAACGAATAGAGAATCTTGTCGTAATCATATTTTGAAGAAAATTATGACATACGACATGCTGTAGCTCGCTATATGAATATAAACAAGACAATATTAACAATAACACGTTATGTCAAGATCTAACAGTATATACCTACGCATAAATAGTTATAATAGTTGTAAAGAAATGTTCATTGACCTTATGAAATATTTAACACAATACAAATTCATGCGCCAAATAATCTATTCTTTAAGTTTTTTAAATTAATTCTTATTACAATAGTTGTTGACAACTTTTTATTATTATTGGATCTTACGATTCGTACTTTATTGTGTTCTCTAATACAAAAATTATTTTCAAATTACGTTTAAATCGACGAAAAATCATTTTTGGATTAAGAGCGCGTAGTGACAGACAAACCAATATAATCGGAGAGTAACTCGGTAAAGAAAAGTATTATGATACACATCAATCATGTATTAATAATTAATTAATTTAATAAAAATAAAAGAGAATAAAATATTCCACATATGTGTAAGAGAAAAACAAAAAGAGAGGGAGAAGGAGGAGAGAGAGAGAGAGAGAGAGAGATAATATTGTATTATAATACATTAAATATTTCATGATGGCAAACGGAATATTAAATTGTTTGGCTTTCTCTCTATGTGGCGTATAAGCGTGATATTGTTTATACTTGGTCATCTTGTTATCACTCGCGCGGTGATTAGTCTGATGATGTAGTGATTAATTAAACGCATTGATTGACATACGACTTGTAATCTTATGGAAACAACGCTAGACATTATAAATTATCTGCGATCTTTACGGGCGATAGTTATTTCTCTAACATCGTATCTCACGTTGCACTGACACATATTTAATTAAATTTTCTCGTTGATTTAAATGTAATTTGGATTGAAAATGCACGTTAAAATCGTTTGCTCAAGAAATAGAAATAGAAAAACACGATAGATTGTTAACTAATAATAGGTTTGTGGAATTTGCACGTTTGAAATATATTACTACATATTATATAATACAGTATAATTGTATTTTGATTATTTATTTTTTGATATCCTATCGCGCATCTCAATTGACTCGGCTCACGGTGTTATCATATGATATCAGAGTTAAATTGTTACTATTCGAATTTTTTAATCAAAGTAACGAAACAACCATGTAAAAATGAAAATGATGGGTTCTGATCAAGCGTTGCAGCATATTTAATGAATATCAATATAGTCTCATTATTAATTTAATTTTTTTCATATTTTAATATTTAATAATTACACGCACATGCTATACATTCAATATTTATTATCAGCATTACATAGAGACATCTTTATAATTTGTCAAAACATGTATTTTGCGAAAATTTGATTAATGTTTTTTCTGCAAACAATCGATAAATTATAAATTAAAATATTGCACAATCTGTATATATTTTCTTTAACTCTTATTAAAAACCTATCAATAGCAGATTAGCATCAGATAAATATCGCCGCAATAAGTCTCACGTGAAACTATATATGTACTTGTTTTCTACCGTAATGTAATAAAGTATGCGTCGCGATTAATGTCGTTAGTGCCATGTTAAGTGTCGTGCGATCGCATTCTGTTAATTAGTACGCGCGCGATCGTAATTAATCGTCTTTTCACGAGTGTTGTTTGTGAAAAAAAATGAACAAGAGAGAGAGAGAGAGAGAGAAAGAGAAAAAGAGGAGGCCTGAGAAGGCATTAAGCAACAACGAAGCAACCATGAGATGAGAAAATAATTGAATTTGTTATTCGTGAAATTATTGTTTGTTTATTGCCGCCGTATAACAATCTTTATATTTAATTTTTATAATCTTGCGTAATGTGTACATAGTTTAATTACATTGTATGTTATATAAAATATTTTGTTTACGTGTTATTTTATAATATTTGACATATTTAATAAAATATTTATAATAATTAATGTTTTTATATTTATAAAATATTCTAATATTATTAATTTATAATTATGAAGAGAAGTTATTAATAGTTAGATTTTTATTTATATAATCTATTAATTGAATATATATTTCTCTATTTTCAGATCATGTTCAACTTCCCTGCTGCGCATCGTATGGTGAGTTCTAAATTTTTTTTAAATCTTGAGGTAATTAGTTTTTAATAAATAAAAGAAAAATAATTTTTTCTAAGAGTCATTATCTGATATAGTTCCATTTAATGTAAAATTTTTACTTTAATTTGCATATACACAATTGAAAATTGCAGAAAATTCTTGAATATTTATTTTTGTTATTTTTTATAATTATTATATATCTCAATATTTACAACATTAGAAAGTTAGAACACCAACTTTCAATACTTAATTTATTCAAATTTACAGTAATTAAATTCATAATTTATTAAAAACATAGGTCAGGAATTTTTAACTACATATAGATATATACTATGTACATGTCTGAATGAAAATATGTGATAAGTATGAGATAAATAATATGATAAATTAAACCTTTTTGAGCCAAAATTAATTATATTTATAAATTTAAATTAATATGTTTTTACATACCACACTACTTTTTTGTATAAAAAATTAGGAATTTGAACGATTTTCAATTCTTTGTTTATTACCTCAAGATTTCACAATTTTATTGTTTTATCTGTATACATATCTAGACATTTCTCTGAATATTTGCGTAATTAGCATATATTAGCGAATTTTTAATTTTTTACTGAATACTTCTCAATAATGTTGAGAATAAAGATTTGAAAAGTTTTGAAAATAATGACTGCGGAAAGGAACAAATTTGTTATATGGACGTAAAAAAAAGAAATATGAATCCGAAATGATTCTTTCTCTCAGAGCTTCTGTACCCTTGCTCTTTCGACGGGAATGAATAGGTCGAACCAGTTTTTCGGGATCCATGAAATATCTCGTAGGTCGCTAGGTGTCGGTAAGAAATTAATAGCTTGGTAAAACGTCCTGCTCATTAAATGTAAAATAAGATTGCCATAATTTATAATTTAATAACAGACTAAAGAGGCTTATTAAGAGAAACACAATTTCCAACATATAGTGTCATATTTATTACAACCAGTTTTGCGCGGACTCCTCGCAGGAAAGAATGAACCGCAGCTCACTAAAACGAGAACGAAAATGCCATTCACTTTGAAATATAATCGATAATATTTTCGACGCGTTTATATAACATACAAATAAGAAAAGGACATAATTTATATTTTGCAATATCTCTTGTATATATAATTAGAGACAATTAGAAAAATATTCAAATGATTATTTATACGGATATCTACTAATATTTTATGGATCTAAACAGCTTTATTATTTAAGAAAAATTTATTATTTTTAAATCCTTAATAAATTATTTAAATTCATATAACATAAAAGAGAAATTATAAAAGTTGAATTTACAAATATTTTCTCCATAAATTCACCAGATGCTTAAATGGTACATCGTACTTTCGCAGACGTTATTACGCGCCGATATTAGCCGCACCTTAAAAGGAGCGTACGCGCTAATTACACGACGGATGGTTTGCGTTTTTTTTCTCAAGTTACATCGCGGGCGACTTTCGCCGTGTCCCACATTGTTGCATGCTAATTAATTAATTAAACGCGGTTGTGGTGTTGCGATGCAATCGCGAACGTCTTAATCGACGTCGACCGCGAAAGAAAGATGCATACAAGTTTTTCACCCTCAGGGAAACTTTATTTACATCGCTCTTGCGGAACGCGCTCGCTTCTGTATAGAAAGAGAACTAAAAAGGTGAACTACCAGAGAGTCGACGAAGGAGAGAAAAGAGACTGAGGCAAGGGAGGAAGCGGGTCTCTCGGGGTTCACCATAAATGCCCGTTTATTACTGCGGTAATATTACCGTCCACTCGAGGAGACCGCGCGCGTTTTATAGGTAATAACTCATTTGGGAATTAGGCTCTTTAACACAAAGCCCTCGATTTTCGATAAGCATCTCCCTGTGTGCCCTGGGTATATAGCCGAGGAAAATGAGAAACCTCATATAATGTCTCGGTTTGGACCAAAGCGGCATCGAGCGCGCTATTTAAACACGTAACACGTTTGTATATAACGCGCACTCGAATTATTATGCGTCGTGACGCATAATAACTGCGGTGGATAGTCTATATCGATCTTTTTTACAACCGAGTCCCTTTTTCCGTTGGTCTTTCTTAGCTCTAATGTCGGTCTTTAAACGGTGATATCGCGTTGCTGCGTGATTTCGAGTCGCCTGGGTTAACTATCGAGCAGGAACGAAAGGAATCCAATCGTGAGTTGAGCTTTATGATCTCTGGAGAGAGAGAGCGAGAGTTATAGAAATTCTATATATGTGAATATTGTTATAGCATCATCGATCATTCTAAAATCCCTGAGCGGAACTGCCGCTTGGCCGTCATTAATTTTACTGATGCAATCATCGCGAACTGTACATTGCGTTTATTATGGTAAACAGTGGCATCCGGATTACCCTGTTAACGGACAACATCGCCATCGATTTTTTGACATTCTTATTCCATTATTAAAATTTTATTATCAAGACAGTTAAATGATCGGACAGTATTGCGTAAACAATATAATTTACACGTGCGCAGGTAATAACTTTTTAACGGTTACTATTCTCCCTTCGACGATTTATACGGATTAAAATATTTGAAAAACCCGACCGCGCACAATTCTCGCACGATGTATTCATACATCGACTTTTAAGGCACGAGCACGAGCCCGTAAAAGGCCAGTTTAAAAAGTCCCCGATGAGCATCCGGAGGAGGGCGAACGAAATTTCGAAAGCGACCGTGTACCGCTAAAGGATAATCGCACCCACTGTGGAGAAAAGAATCGAAAAAGATGGTGAAAAGAGAAACGATCTCGAGGGTACTCGAAAAAGGCGTTGGTCTTCAACTCGACGAATGATCCTATTTCGGTTTAGTCCTTGCGAGAATGAGCTCCGTATACTGCGTCCGAGGAAAATCCCCGTAAAATCCGAAACGGGGATCGTGCACATTTTCTATCACGCCATAGAATTCCTTTATAATAAATAGCGTATCTTATATATATTTCGTTTTGCCGCTCAATCGCATTTTCTACACTTTATTTTACCTGATTGTGAATAGCGACACATTTTATTTTAATAAATAATATACGTAACTAAAAATCGAGCAAATTGTCAATTTCATGGATTTAGGGCAAATGAGTTTTTTTACAGAAATTTTACGATATATGAAATAAGCGTATTGGAAAAAGCCATAGAATTCCTTTATAATAAATAGCGTACCTTATATATATTTCGTTTTGCCGCTCAATCGCATTTTCTACACTTTATTTTACCTGATTGTGAATAGCGACACATTTTATTTTAATAAATAATATACGTAACTAAAAATCGAGCAAATTGTCAATTTCATGGATTTAGGGCAAATGAGTTTTTTTTACAGAAATTTTACGATATATGAAATAAGCGTATTGGAAAAAGACTTATTCCAATGATTTCCATTCTTACATCGATCGATCCGCGAATCGACCCCATGATCGATTTCAGGTCAACGTACGAGAACCTCCGTGAAGAATGAACGTAAATCGCCGACTCGTGCACAATGAGATATTCCACAGAGTTCCTAATCATGCGATCGCGAGTCATTGCTTACGTTTTATCGGTTCCGCGAAAACGACGTTGCCTCGCGGCCGATCGATAGATGGATCGTCCATGGCGATCACGTTGCTCAATTCTTGTTTACATACCTCGACGGTGACTGCTCCTGAATTTGAAATGTTGCCTCCTACCTTTCGCGAAACAAGCCATCTTCGCTTCTCAATTGCTGCTCAAAGAGAGAATCGATAAAATTATAAATAGATTTTTATCTTGAATTTTTATCGCGATCTATAGATCATTTAAAATAGGTTTTAAAAATTGAAAAGAAGAATAGAAGAAAAATAAGAATCAGAAAATTACTAAAGAATTCTAAAGCAAATAAGTTAATGTGACAAAATTTTGTAGAAAATTGTCTTAATCTTTACCTAAGTATCTTAATTATTAAAATTATAAATAGATTTTTATCTTGTATTTTTTATCGCGATTTATAGATCATTTAAAATAAGTTTGAAAAATTAAATGAAAAGAAAAATAAGAATCAGAAAAACTAAAGAATTCTATAAAGTAAAGCCAAGGTGAAAAAATTCTGTAGAAAATTTGTCTTAATCTTTACTTAAGTATCTTAATTATTAACAATTAAATAAGAATCTCATACCACGCGTGACTACGCCGGACAAGTTTTCACCGAAAATCCTTACAAAGGAACCGGCTTACAAAGTCGCAGTTTAACGTGATCATTGAGGCAAGAAAAAGCAAGAGAAGGGATTCCCAAAGTTGAAAGATACCAATGAGCCTAAAATTGGTAGGCTAACCTGTACAAAACACCGGTTAATCCGAGTCTGTCGTATCGATAACCTGTCAGATTAGATTATAGAAGTCCCGCAGAAGCACAGACCACCAGGTGGACCAATGGTAACCGATCCCACGTCACGAACCAATCTAAACGTCGTTCCTTCTTTCTTCTCAATAGTTTTCCTTTTTATTCAAAGAACTTCCAAGCGGCAAGAGAAATGCGCGTCGAAAAACTTTGGAATTAGCACAATTTTGCCACCTTCATTGCTTTGATAAAAAATATTTATTGAAGCGATGGAATAAGATGTAGGCATTTTAAAATAAAAATATTAGCGTACAATTTATTTCTCTTTTCTAATCCACCCTGAAAAAATAAGTTTGACACATTTTTTCATCCTTAAAAATTTTATTAGAATATTACTTTATTTTAAAAATTAACTCTCTTTTTATATTATGATGTACCTATATCAAAATGTTCGAATATTTGAGACAAAATTCATATAATGATTTAGATACATGGAGATACCTATTTTTGTTTAACTCGCAAAGAATTATTTATAAAAAAGACATGTCTCTTAATTTGCTCTCTCTATTTTTCTCTCGTATATCAAAAATCTTTTGAGCCGAAAATTACCTTTGCGAGATTCTAAGCAATGGAATTGAAAGAAATCGAAATCGTTATGAATCTTTCAACTTTTCGCGTATACA